ACACGGAAAAAAAAAAAAAAAAAAAAAAAAAAAAAAATGAAGGCACAGAGATGGCCCTGCCACCACCAGCCCTGCCCCCCAGTGACCACGATGTGGAGGGGCAGTCACCACAGCCCAGCAGACCTGCAACTGCCCTCTGACCCACCTGCACGCTGTCTGCATTGTTCAGGAGTGGAGGCTTCTTCATCCCAAAGTCATGGGGGATCAGCGTGTAGAAGCGATTGGAGAGATCCAGGATCTGGGAGTCACTGCTGCCCTGGGACACCGCCTGGAGGGGAGGGGGACAGAAGGAACTCAAAACTGGGGTAGCAGCTCTGGAAACCCTGCACTGAGCCAGGCTTTCTCTTCTGGAAGGTGAGAGCCACAGCCAAGTCCAGAGGTAGCCTGCTGTATGCACGAGCCAGGACACACAGGACAGGACCACAAGACCACCTCCTGCTGACGCTACACCCCTGAGCAGGGGCAGGACCCTATCCTCTAACAGCACGGCTCAGTACACAATGGGCTTCTCATATAAAATTGCATCTGTACAAAAAACTATGCAGTTATAGATATATGAAGTTCCCTACCACTATGCAAAGTGTTAACTGCAAAACCTAGGTTGGGTTCATGGCCATTTCTGTAAATTTCTTTCTACTTTTTGTATGCTTAAAAATAATAATCAAGTGTTGTGGGGAGGGGCTATTAAATTCAGTCAGGCTCTGTTCATCCACTGATCTCCATCTCTGGAGGGGAATTAGTTTTTACTGCAGCTGGAGGTCCAGGAGGCCAGGCATAGAAAGGCTAAGCAACCCCTACCGCCACAGCGGCACTCAGCACTCTACATGCAGAGGGTGCTTAATAATGCACAGAGATGGACCACTAGGATAATGTGTATGTGTTTGGCAGACAGCCCAAGTGACTACAGAATGATCAAGGGGCAAAAAGTGGCACCCTGCGGGCCCACAGGGTCTCATTGTGACGTGGACTTCATCAAGTCGTGAACTGTCTGTCCCTGCCATAGCTGGCTCCGCGCAATGTGGAAGAATGCTGCCATTCCAGCCCTCCCACCTGCGGATTCTGGAGCAGGAAAAGAGCCCGTCTGAGGAAAGCCCTGCCAGTCCTCAGCCAGTGGGTAACAAGGTGAGAGGTCTCTGCACAGGGCCAGCTGTAGTGACTGACCGGCGGTGTTTCGGGGCCTCTTCTTCAGCACCAGCCAGAACGGCCACTCTGTGGGCCCACTTCAGATTCTTTTTTTTTTTTTTGTCTTTTGTTTTTTTCCGTGTCTGGCAACAGATCGCAACCCTCAGTGTTGCCCCCGTACCGGACCGGGGACCGGCAACGGGATTGCAACCCTCGGTGTTGCTCCCGCGCCTCGCTCAGCCAGTGAGCGGGAACCGGTCTGTATGTGGGATCCGAACCCTCGGGCGGGAGCGCCGCTGCGCTTCCCAAGCTGCGCACTTATCCAGTGCGCCACCGGGCCGGCCCCCACTTCAGATTCTTGAGAGCTTTTCTTCTTTCACAGGCCAAGGCTACACCCTGTGCCCAAATACAAGTGGAACCCTCCAGCCCCTCTGGGACAGAGCTTGAAGACTCCGGGAACTGGGGGACCTTGAAAGATGCTCAGTAAATACAAAATGAACAAGTGGAAAAAAAAAAAAAAACAGTTTTCTATTTGATGACCTCCTAGAAACTGCAAAATCAACTCTGCCTGACTCTTAAGGACACACAAATAAAATGAGAATATCTGTAAGAGATAAGAGAACCAAATTCTTCATCAAGTTTACAGGAAGTTTATTACATATCTGATAACTGAAAACACTGCTATTCATTAGTTTTGTGATGCTTTGCAAGCGGCAGATACTTGTCATGTTTATGGAATTGAAAAAAAATCTAAATCCTCATGAACTGTGGTTCAGCACTTCCACTGCATTAACCTTGAGTAGATGACACTGTTGCCACCCCCTAGATGAGAAGTCGGCCAGGGGAGGCTGGCCCAGGAGAGCCCAGGGGAGGCCCTGGCTTACCTGCTGGACTTCGCTGAGGATGGAATAGGCCGCCTGGATCTGCCTCTTGCTCAGCTTCCCCAAGGGCATCTTCTGAAGGTCAATCTGAAAAGACGGGGGTGGTATGTGTGTGTGGGGGTCCCTTTGAGAGCTGCACCCTGCCCACTGTGATGACAGGACAGCTGGACTGAGTCCCTTCCACCCCTCCAGGCCTCTGGGCCCGCAATGGCAGAAGTCAGAAGCCTGCCTGGTTTTCCCAAGGAGACCCATGACAGACTTCGCGGTCCTGCCCCCACGGCAGGGGATGGAGTCTGCTTGAAAGAAGATTCTTGCGTGCTTTGTTTATGGCTGGTATAAGCCAACTGCAGCTCCCCCACCCCCAGGCTGTTTCAAATGGCCTGGCCCTTCTGGAAGAAGACACAGCCTAATTCCCATCCACCTCCGAAGTGAGGATGTGGGCCCCTTGGCCACGGCTCCCCATGTCTCAGGCCCACCAAGGTGGCCTGCCCTGGGGTCCCAGAGCCAGGACAGTAAGGGCACCCCTCCCTGGGTTCCTTGTTGGAAGATAAGAAGCAAGAGTTTTAAGTGGCAGAAACTATTTTTAAGAACACACTCCCGAACTTACATGTTTACATTTGAATCAATGCCGTCCCTTCAAATCAGTCACCCCAAAAGGTTAATAAACGTTTGTTCCAACAATACTGTACTACTTGTGACACCCTGGGAACTACCGTCAAGAGAGGCCGCAGCTGTAGTGAGAAGAGTGTGATCTGCAGCTGGAGGCCTGTCACCAGCCAGCCAGGCAGCCAGGCAGCCGCTCAGGCCCTGGTTTCTCATTTGCAAAACGCAGCCACCTTTTTCCAAAGGCACCCACCCCTCTTGTGAATGACCCTGCCTGCACTGCTGGCTTGGTCCCCAGGGTTGAGACATCTGTGGACCATGCTCTCTACCCTGAGACATTTGTGTCTGAGGCTTTCCCAACAGACTCTCAGAGCTCCCCAGGGGCGGAGGGCACCTTACCCATCTCTGCCCGCCCTTCACCTTCTGCAGTGTCTGAGCTGGATTTACAAACGGAACTGCTGTGGGGATGGAATGAAATCAAAGGGCTGAGAAGTGCTCACAGCTCATCAGGCTCCAGCCAGGAGCCAGGGGCGGCAGCGTCTACTAACAAGTGCAAGCCCTGGTTCGTGTGATTCTGTCCCCTCAGTACAAGGAACGCTCCATCCTGAGGGAAGATCTGATTTCTGGCAAGAGTTAAATAGCTGGGGCCAAATCGAGGGAGGAAGGTGGATAATCTATTTTGAGCCAGAACAAGGTACAATAAAAGAGCACAGTGACTTCAGTATGGATTATCAATCGGCTCTGAGAGCGACTCTGGAGAAGCAACTCCAAAAGATGTTCTGATCAAGGGCAGCGTGACCAGAGTTAGAGCAGATGCCCTGCAGGGAGCAACGTTCCCCAGGCTGTGTGTTTCTGGTGTTTATTAAAAAACAAGAGACCTAGTCACCCTAACCCTGCACCCTCAAAATGTACACACAGGCCACAAGAACGAGAAGGCCTCATTCAACAAAAGCCACCGCACTAATAGAAAAGAGCCCCAGGCCCAGCACTGGATTGTGGGCTGGGAGCCACCACTCCACAACAGCCCAGTCTAGGGAGAAACTGAAAAGCGGGAGAGACCGTCTGACGTCAGGGACGAGCCACAGACGCGGCCAGAGGGAGAGACCCCCATGTGTCCTGAGCACCTGGACCCCACTCCCCTCTGGGCTCAGGATGTGCTCTCTTCCCAGGGAGCACCAGGTTCCCCTGCTGCTGGGGATGAAGCCCCTGGGCCACCATGCAACGTGTCCACGTGGTCACCCTCAGGCTAGGAGTGGGCACCCCATTTTCCTACACTACCTACAGGCTGCCTTCCAGCCTGTTCCAGCGGCAGGGCCCGGGCCTTTCTCTTCCTGCTGAACTAGTTACCTGTCTGAAAAACCACATAAAATGTCATTTCATGGGAGAGCACTTGGGTCTGAGAATAGCTGAGAACTTCTATAAATCACAAGTAAACCAGAGTAGGGAGGCAGAAAATGCGGTGCAGGACTTCCAAATACTAATGAGACAAAGACCCTCTTCTGCTCCCCTTACCCCAGCACCTCCTCTCTCATGCGCTCCCCACCCACAGGAGTTTGAACTAGCAGACCTCCTAGACTGAAGTCAGGTTGTGCATTTATGCCAGCAAGCCCTGGCCATTTTGAACCCCTTAGAGGATATAACACAACACCCCACTCTCTAATAGCAGCTGGCCATCAGCAGTCCTGCCAGGGAGATGCTGGGGTGACCCCGATGTCTATGGGGTTCAGGAGGAAATGGCTGCTGGGTTTAATACGATGCAGGTTTGACCTCCAGTCTCCTCCAAGGCTGGCCAGTGGCTCTAGGGAGGAAGAGTACGGGAAGACGCAGGACACAGGTGTGAAGGCAGCAGCCCCTGCAGAGGGGATGGATGCCTAAGGTTGATCCGAGCCTCTCACCCTCTTCCCTGGGTTCCTGGGAGCCCAGGGCAAACGGAACAGTCAACCCCCTGCAGCTGCTGGGTTTTCAGAGCAGCCTGAAGCTTCTGGGCTCAGTGGCTGGGGAGGGCTGAGAGTGCTGGCCAGGCAGCAGCATGCTGCACAGGGACCACCGCTGAAGGCCCCCGGAGCCAGCACTCAGGAGCTCTGCTGCCAAGAGCAGCAAAAACAAGGGGACCTTCAGCCCTCATCTCCTGGGGGAAGAGCAGGGACGAGATGGGGGACAGAAGGAAAGACGCACACTCTCTGCCACTCTGTCCTGGGCAGGAGCACAACTAATACAACCACCTCCCCACCACCTATTCTGGTATGAATTTTATCTGATGAAGCAAGTGTCAGAAGCTCTCTGCTCTTCGTCACAGCAGTTTCCTTTTTCTGTAAGTGGGCCATGTTTTGGACTTTTCCCATGACAACACCAGTTGGCTGGTGTGGTTGGGCCACAAAACACCATGCCTACACGCCCAGTCACAGTAACAAGGGACAAAGCGCAAGGGGGACCCAGGGTTGGGGTCAGCTCTACAACACACCACGTCTCACAGCAAATCAAATGACCCTCTGCAAAAGAGCAAGTACTTCAGAGGCCTCGGCACACGTATGACCTCAGACAGGTGCGAGAAGCTGACGTCCAACATTTTTGAGGGAGAGAAACAAGAAAACAAGGACAGCCAGGGAGCTCCTCCCCAGCTCAGCACCCACTCCCCCTCCTCAGCCGGAGCCCATAGACGGAAAAATAACGTGCATTAACCTCATACTCCACCATGGCTTTCTTCATGCTCTCCACATCGAAGATCATTTTAATGAGCTCCTGAACGGGCTTGGGGAGCTTGGATTTGGTGCCAGGGTTTACAGTTAGCTTCTTCACGGCCTCTTCATCCTCCAGGGGAAAAAGGGAATCAGTAAGAAACCAGCTCAACAACCAAGTGGCGGTGGCGTCTGAGGGGCTGGGCTGTAGATAAAGGACACAGGAGGAAGTGCCACCAGCAAAAAAAGCTGAATGTTGATCATAAAGGTCTGGTCAGTGGTGGCCAGGAGAAGCATGTGTGGCTTTGCACATGGGCTGGACAGCTACTGGGCACCCCAAGTCCTCCTGGTTGCTCCATATTCTTATTCCAGCTGCCATGACAGCGGCTGCATGGGCAGACCCACCTGTGGCTGCCAATGCCCTGCCTCAGACCTGGCCGGTGCCCACCATGCCCAATGTGGTGTTAATTTACTCCCCCACCCCACCCCTGCTCCCAGGGATCACACTGCCTGATAACTAATGGCACATGAGACCTCACCTCTGCTGTGCAAAGAACCCAGGCTATGTCAACATCACACTGTACTGAATCTCCCTTTTTTCACTTTTAGACTTGGACCCTGTGAGGGCAGGGACTGTGTTCTGTCCATCACGGTGTTCCTAGCAACTAATATGGTATTTGGTATTTGTTTGGTGTAAAGGTAACTGGCACTGGGCTTTCAGCCTGGAATCTGCTGGCTTACCCAAGCTGCAGAGAGCTAATCCATGCCGTGTGAGTGCTCGTGGCTGCTGCTGTCACCTTTACAGCAGTAGATGTACTCTCAATGTTGACACACTGAGTCTTACGTGCACTTTTATCCTGTGGATGTAAGTTCATTGGAGGGCAAACTATCAATGTGTTAAAAAGCCTGGTTTAAGTGCACATACTTTGTGATCCAGTAACTCTACTTCTAATGGCAATAATCATAGAGGTACACAAATATTTATATGCATATCACCATCACTGCAGTAAACGCCTGGAAATAATCTGAACGCCTAACAGGAAGGAGGAAGCTGTTTTGATAAATTATGAATTCTGGCCCATGCACATGATGGAATTCGATGCAGCCTTAAGAAACGATGCTCTAGATCAGCACAGTTTAATATATAGAAGCCACTGGCCACATGCAGTTACTGCGGTTTTGAAATGTGGCCAGTCCAAATTGATATGCTGTAAGTGCAAAATATACACAAGATTTCAAAGACTTAGTACAGGCGGGATAAAGGGAATTTTCTCAATAATTTTGTTGGTATCAATCACATGTTGAAAGGAGAATATTTTGGATATATTAGGTTAAGTAAATTACTAAGATTAATTTCACTGATTTCTTTTTTGCTTTTATTTTTCAGCAGCAGCCCAGTACAGGGAACCAAACCCTTGACCTTGGTGTTTCAGGCCATGCTCTAACCAACTGAGCTAACCAGCCAGCCCCTTTTTGCTTTTGCAAATGTGGTTACTTAAAAACTTTAAAATTATTTACGTGGCTTGCATTATTTTCTGTTGGACAGTGCTGCTACAGAAGACACAGGGAAATGCTCAGGGCAAAAAAGTGGGTGGTTGTCACATATGTAAGGCAGCATTCCAACTTTACGGTGGGGAAAGCGCATGTGACGTGAAAGATGAGTGAAAAAGACATACAGCATGACTTTGTGCTTAATTCTGGATGATTTTATTCTTTGTGCCTTTGTATTTCTCATCATTTCCTAAAACAAATATTTAACCCAGCAGGGGGCACTACCGAGTCGGACTAAGTCTACCTCTAAGTCCAAGGTCTCACCCTCAACATTACATCATCGAGAGCTAAATTCTATTTTTAATGTGAAGAGCTCATGACACCATCTATGAACTAAATAATTCCCCCTTTGAGACATACTAGGCCCCAAAGACTTAGAATTAAAATCTATACCTACCCACAAATTTCTCCCCTTCATAAATTAAATGTGTATTTTTTCTCTGATTACAAGGTCAAGGATTTGGTTCCCCATACTAGTGAGGCACCAAAAAAAAAAAAAAAAAAAAAAATAGCATTTTGCACACAAATAAACAAAATGCACACACAATCACACAAATACCGACCATGAGATAACTGAATGCTGTCTGGTAACATATATAGCAAGACTTCCAAACTACAGATGTAGGTCTTATTAGAAAATCATTTGGGACTAAAAACTGTGACCTAGCAGAGCATGTCAAGTTACAGTTCTCTCCTGCTGATACATTAGGTCACATGATCTATGGCTGCTATGGATTGACTGTCTCGCCAAAACTCATTGAACTTAGTCCCCACTGTAGCAGTGTTGAAGCTGAGAAATCCTACGATGGGAATTGAAAGGTGGGGCCTTGAAGAAGTGACTAGATTGTGGGGACTACGGCCTCTTGAATGGATTAATCCATTCGTGGAGTAACGGGTGTGGTTCTGATGGTTTTCAAAGGAGCACAAGCGAGGAGGTTAGTCTCTTGCTCGGGCCATTCGCCCTGTGTCACTCTCACCAAGGCCCCGACCAGATGCGCCCCTTGGACTGTGGATTTCCCAGCCTACGAACTGTGAGCAAGACATTTCATTTCTTTATACATTACACAGTTTCATGTATTCTATTATAAGCAACAGAAATGGACCAACACAATGGAATGTGGATTCAGATAAAAAGTCTTAATTGGCACCCACGAGTTACCCCCTGCTGCGTTTCCAGAGCAACTTCAAAGACTGTTCCTCCTTGACAGTCTCAAAAATGCCACCACTGTTCTCTTCCAGGCTCCATCTCATACTTCCTGGTGTGGACTTTATTAAACGTATTTTCTGCATCTACTGAGATTATACGGTTTTTGTCCTTTATTTTATTATATGTGGTGTTACACTGATTTTTTAACATGGAACCAACCTTACATTCCTGGGATAAATCCCAGCTGGGCATGGTGTATAAATCCTTATATGCTGCTGGATTCAGTCTGTTGATGTTTTGTTGAGGGTTTTGCATCTATATTGTTAGGTAGTTTTCTTGTGATGTCTCTGTCTGGCTTTGATAACAGGGTAATACTGGCCTCATATAATGAGTTGGGAAGTGCTTTCTTCTATTTTGGGGGAAGAATTTGGGAAGGGTTGGTATTCATCAATCAGTGACACCATCTGATCCAGAGTGGGGATTTTACAGATTAAAGCGTCCCTTCCTTTTACTAGAAGAGGCGGCAAGACCATTAAGCGATTACCTGGCCGTAGTCAATCTCCAGAGGGTAGAACTTTTTGGGATACTTTGTGAAGTTTTTGGAGTGCCAGGCGTTCCCGGTTTTCTCTTCATATAACTTCAGAAAGTGGTCAATGGCATCGTCCTTGGATGGCATCTGCTCCAGTTTGTTACTACCGATCACAGTGCCGACACGGCCCCAGGACCTGAATATCCAATACCTACGGCAGGGGAGGAGGGGCGCGTCAGATACGAACCTGCGGGTCACCGGTCACAACTCAGGAGTTTCCTTTCCCTGCCATTCCATTAGGGTGAGAGAACTTTAAACACCCCCAAATGCTGCTGATTGAACAGGACAAAAGAAACTGCTATCACAGTAAAGGGCCTTTATTTTTTCATGAAACTGAGGGTTATAAGGAGTTTAAATTAATCAATGAATGCCTTTTAAAATTATATTGGCAAATGGACTATAAAAAAAATGCCAAAGGAACAGGTTAAACTTGGATCTGGCAGCCAAGCTCGAGGAGCGGAATCCTGGGGCCTGTAGACATTTACATAAAAACCAACCAACCAAACAAACAAAAACACCACTCCATTCCTCTCCCCGAAGAAAATATACCAAGTATCATTTGGAAGCCATGTCTTTAAGGAGAGAAAATCATCAAAGATATACCCTAAAAATAATGAAGAGCTTTCAACTCAGAGGCCAAGATGTGATTCAATGTCCACCTCAGTTGAGGGTGTACAGCACGCACCCCCTAGCTGCTTAGTGTCGGGTGAGATAACTTTGCTTAATGAAGTAATACAAAACTTAATATTTTTTTTTTTTTTTTTACTTTTTGTCTTTTTTCGTGACCGGCAACGGATCGCAACCCTCAGTGTCGCGCCCGTACCGGACCGGGACCGGCCACGGGATTGCAACCCTCGGTGTCGCTCCCGCACCTCGCTCAGCCAGTGAGCGGCCGGTCTGTATGTGGGATCCGAACCCTCAGCGGGAGCGCTGCCGCACTTCCCAAGCGGCGCACTGCAGCAGTGCGCCACCGGGCCGGCCCCCAAAACTTAATTTTTACAGCATACTAAATATAGACACATCATAAAACTATATACAAGACTGGGATGCATTTTTAAGATAAAACTAGAGACTTCAAAGAAAACCTGGAACTTTCTGCCTATTTTCTGGGCTACTGCCCAGGGGTGTATAAATTCATTCTCTGCTGGGTTTTTTCCTATGGGAATGTTTGGGAAGCACCACCCTGACCTATGACTAAAAATTTTTTCTGACCTTAACAGCCCACACTGCCCTTTCACTCTAAAAACAGCACATCTAAGTTACTAGAAAAGTGCCCATGTCCACAATCACCACTTTCCATTTACACACAGACCCTGCTCTGCATGGCTACGGTAAGGGACAATGACTCACTAGAGGACCTAGAAACATTATGAATGGCAAAAGCCAGCCCACTCCCTCCCCACCTCCCACATCATGTATCCCAGAATCCAGATGCCACCCTTGCCTGTCTCCACCATGTTAAAAAAATTAAGAAAAAGCAAAGCTAAACCTCTTTAGTAATGAGGGAGTTTGAAGTAACATTAGAGTAAGTTCAGTGCTTGCCAAACTTTATCTGCTTCAGAAGTTTAAAAACACATGTAAAATCAGAAAATCTTGATTCCTCAAGTGGCTACAAGAAAAACTAGTTGGGAGACTATGGGAAACCACACCCTGGCACACCTGGGCACAAGGACAGCCACCCTCCAGGGCTCACCGGCTTTCCTTGTCATCCTCCAGAAGTTGCAGCTTGTAATAGGAGTTAGTTCCTTTGACAATGTCCACAAGGCCAAGGGTGGCGCTGAAGACCTTCCCACCTTTCTCCAGGACGTGCGCAGAGTGTTCCAGACCTGTCCCAGAGGCCAAGCTCTTAGTCTCCCCCAGAGGAGCCGCCGCTCCCTGGGAGCAAAGCTCTGCAGGACAGGGGTTCCCGCCTGCTTGGTTATACTCCCGCCAGCTCCGGAGGGTCCCCACAGGACAGGCACATCCTCAGGACTGGGGAGTAGGAGAGGGAGGCCCAAGGGTGCAGGCGCAGCCGCGCTCTGCCGGCACTACTGTTTGCTTACCGGAATCGGGGTCCACGGCTGCTCCTCCTTTCAGGGTTAATTTCATTCTCTTTTCAGATTTATTGACACCTTGGAAGGGGACAAAGAAATGTAAACATTTAATTTTAAAGTAAGGGGAAGGTGGAGGCCAACGGGAGCTCTCACATGGAATGCCTGCCCTCCTGTGCCTGGGGACAAATGAATGGGGAAAAGTCGTCTCGGCACCTTCAGCAGACCACGTCAGGGACACGAAGGCTCCATGCAGGCAGACCGGGCCGGCCTGGGACAGGCCACTGGCCTGCGGCATGAGGGGCCCCCAGCTCCCCTGGGTTTTGGTCCCAGGAAGGGCCCCCGGCACCCTCACCTTCCTCCTTGACGGAGCCCTTGCTCTTCTTGGAGAGCGCAGCCCCCGACTTCGCTTTCGGGGCCACCACTTCCACAGGCTCTGCCTTCACCTCGGCCCCCCAGGGGGACAAGATGTGCGCGGAGACCAACTCCTGAAGGCTCCTGGAGCAGGCAGAGACGTCCTGGAGGAAATCCTCAGAGACGACACGCACGTTGGCTGCTCTCACGTCCTCCATCTTCTTATTCATCTTCTCCAGCTCTTCTGCGCAGATCGGAAGGAAAAAACGGAATGGTACGTTTCCAACCACGCTTCCATCTGACAAAAGCACCGCAGTTATATTTACTGCGTGCGTCCAAACCCTCCTCGCCACAGCTCCCCTTTCCTTCCACATCTCTCCCTCGCAGGGCTGCTGTCATCAGAAGCATCGCCCTCCTCTAAGGCATGGCGAGCCAGGGCGGCCTTCTCCATGCCGCTGTCTAGGACGAGATGCCAGGCATACCCCGGAAGAGCAGCCTGAGTCGAGCACACGTGGCAAACCCTGCGCGCCACTGCTCAGGTCTTGGAGACCTACAATGGCCATCGGCAGAACAGACCTACAACAAAATCTGTTCATCTTTGCTAAACTCTGCGTTTTCCAAACATGCTTGAGTGTGAACTTGTGCTCTGGCAGTGAACCTATGCATATCAGTGGAATGGTGCGAGGGGACAGGAACAGGCCCTACGGTCCTCAGATGGACTAAGACACCGGCTACCTACAGAGCAGCAGAACAGAGTCGACACGAGAGCAGCTTCTGAGTGCCATGGAGCCCTCGTCACAATCACAAGACCCAGAAGCACTGTCTCCTGCACAAACAAGATTAAACTCACTTTTAGTGCTGATGCACAGCGAGGCCTTGTTGGCCGTGCCCGTCAACTTCCCCCCGAGATTCTCGATCGTGGCCTTCACTTCCTCCTTGTTCCGGGAGAGTTTCCCAAGAGTCAGGATCTTCATGCTGGACAACGGCTTATCTGGGACTGAGAACAGAACAACTCAGCAAGGCTGACTCTGACGCTGCTCCCCGGAAGGGAGGTGGGGGACAGCCAGGGCGGACAGCAGGGCCCCTGCCCCAGCACCCCTTCACCAGCTCCTCCCTGGGGAAAAGCCGATGACAGCATGCTAGTGGAGGACATGACAACAAACTGTCACCTGAGAACCTCCACACATCCCTCGACACAGAAAGGACCGGGCATGGAACAAACCATGAAATGCCACTCCAACAGGCCAGCTGGGAGCTGGGGGCTCCACGGGCAGACAAGGAAGGATATATTTGGGGATGAGGGACCAGAAGGCTGGTAGTGGGATGGGGTAGGTCACACTGGTGAAGTCCCAGTTCCTTCTGTTGTTCTTCTCCCACTAAAATCTGAAAACAAACTGTAAATCTTATTAATTACCCCATTTAAAAAACTAGGCTGTCTGGTTAGAGTGCAGCCTTATAATACCAAAGGTCAAGGGTTCAGATCCCCGTACCGGCCAGATGCCAAAACTAAACAAACTGTAATTCTAATTAATCCCATTTAAAAAATTAGATAGGCTTGCCAAGTTAGTTCGGTTGATTAGAGAGTGGTGTTATAACACCAAGGTCAAGGGTTCAGATCCCCATACGGGCCAGCTGCCAAAAAACAAAATAAAAAACTAGACACATCCATGACAGTCCCTCAAAGCTTTGGTCAGCATGGTCACATGAGCTGGGATAACCGATTCCAGGCACAGTGAAGTGGCCTGGCCTTTCAGGTGTCCAGCACTGAGCCGGGCTGGAGAGCCCTGGGATCGCAGTGAGCCTTCTGTTGGCTGCAAACGAGAAAGCAGTGCTGGCGACACACTGCTAGAGAGGAGACGCTGTAGGGAGTCCTTCTGCATGCCCTCCCAGAAGACCGGCAGAGTTGAACTGAACACTGGCAAGGTCTCCACACAGAACAAAATCACTGATCTGTGTGGGAACTGCAGGGGAGGGGTCCCCCACAGGAGGGGCCAGCACGCCACCCCTGCCTGGCCCACCACAGGTGCATTTGCACCCAGGCTGCCAGCAGCAGCACAGACTCGGGATGGCCACCCACACGGGCACTATGGTGACCACAGGTTTTCAACCCAGGGTGTGGGAAGGAAGTCATTATTGGGTCACACTCAGAGACAGAACCCTTGTCCTCCACCTACCACACTGCAGCCTCAGACCACTGGACTCAGTCCACCATGCCCGAGCCCATAAAGAGTGGGGCTCTTCTGTCAGAAACACACATCGATCTCACTGTCGTCGTTGGCCTGGTGCACTTCTCACTAACACTGATCCTGACTCTACACAGCGGAGACCCAGGCACCACACCAGGGGCACGATGGCTGGCGGGTGCAGGGCAGCCCTGGGAGAGACTGGAATGATGCTCTGCAGTGCAGTCAGGCAGGAGAGCCCGAAGCCACGCCAGGAAGGGATGCCTACCTGGCCTTTCTTGGGAGCCCCTCTGCTCGCATGCCAGTCGCTTGCTCTTTAGGATGTTTATGTTCTTTAAACAAAATTATTATGATTACTAGTCCTGCCAAGTGACTCTAACATCAGGGTCCCCAAGGCCAGTTGTCTGGGAGCTGTACCTGCTGCAGTTGAGGAGTTCACAGCAGCGGGCACCGGGGCTGCGGAGGGCGGGGGTGCCGGGGCTGCCATCCCCGGGGTGCTGGCTTCTGTGGGGAACACACGGTCCTGCTTTTTGACCTTCAGTTTCTTGAGGCAAGAGATTTCTCGGAATTCCTAAAGAATTTAAGTTTTTATTGTTAAGAAACCAGCTCTCCCTCGAAACTACCATCCCACAGACCAAAGAGGCTTTGGCTCATCCAAGTTAAAGACTCTTTTTTCTTCTTATGATAAAGAACAACAGAAGGTAGGAGAACATGGGGCTTCTAGGGTGAAAGACTGTATTACTGCTGCTACAGCACTTATTTCTAATACTTCTACACTTATAACAGAGATAGTATTGTGGCTGCTTTAAGACAAAAGACTTTAGGCCGGCCCGTGGCTCACTCGGGAGAGTGCGGTGCTGATAACACCAAGGCCGCGGGTTCGGATCCTATATAGGGATGGCCGGTTCACTCACTGGCTGAGCGTGGTGCTGACAACACCAAGCCAAGGGTTGAGATCCCCTTACTGGTCATCCTATAAAAAAAAAAAAAAAAAAAAAAAAAAAAAAAAAAATTTTTTTTAAAAAAAAAAAAAATTTAAAAAA